CCCCACGCCTGCTGCTTCCTCCCCTCAGGCTTTGGCCCCCAGTGCCGACGACTCCTCTGACCCTGACCCTCACCACACACACCTCTCATCTCCCTCCCTCTGCCATGCCCTCCCCTATAGTCATAGAGGGACACAGGGGTCCGCTGTGCCAACCCCACCCTGTCCCGGGCCTCAACATGAAGACCTGGGCGGCCCCTTGGCTTCCTCCCTCTGACACCTCTCGCCTGCAAGTCTGGAACGTTCCGCCCTCGACGTGTTTCCAGATTCCCAGCAATTCCTGAACCTCCATGGCGACCACCTAGTCCAGGCCCCGCCCTCTGCTCGTGTTTGTGCAGCAGCCTCCAACTTCCTTCAACACCAGTCTGTCCGTCTGTGCAAAAAGCCTCAATGATTTGGGGGACCCATTGGGGCCTCAAGGGCAGAGGGTGTGGTCCTGACACAGGCGTGCCCATCCAGGCCGCTGTGTCCACCGCCGGCTCTGCACTCTGGTGACCAGGCGGGGCGGTTCCCAAATTTTTCGCTCACCAATCCCTCCAGGCACGGTGAGGGTCGGCCTGGGCAGCCTGGGTGGCCACTGTGTCCCCGTGTCTCCGGCATCTGGCACACCATGGAATGAATGAGTGAATGAATGAATGAGTGAGTGAATGAATGAATGAATGAGTGGATGGATGGATGAGTGGATGGGTGCAGAGGTGAAGTGCTGGGTCAGGCCAGCCTGCCAGGACCCCAGGCCCCGTGTTTGGGGTCCCTGGTCAGGTTCCGCCTCTCCCGCTCCTGCAGTCCGAGGCATAGAGACTCAGTGTGGGAACTCCCAGCGCCACTGGCGGGCGGAGCAGGGAGTGACCCTTGGACCAAAGCCCAGCCAGGACAGGCCACAGCTGAGGGCGGGTCCTTTCTCCTCAGCAGTTTCTGTTCGTCCAGCTTTCCCACAACCTCACGCACTTCCACAGCCACCAACACCTCTTCTTCCCAAACGGAAAAGACAAAGGCGTGTTGTGTGGTTTTAACGGGCTATAAAGTGAAGCCGCAAATACCCCGGGAGGGAGGGTGTGGGCGGAGACGAGCCCTCCCGGCCTGACCTGCCCTCTCCCTGACTCGCCAGGAGGCCGCCAGCCTTCCGTCCGTCCGTCCATCCGTCTGTCCGTCCCTCCCTCTGTCCCTGCTGTCACCTGACTGGAGGGCGGTGTGGGGTGGTCGCTTTCCCACCAGGTGTGGGCCGAGGGGTGGAGGAGGGTGGCCAGGCCAGCAGAGGGCAGGTGGGCCACATGGCCTCCTGCCCAGGTCCCACCCCCACC